AGATGTCGGAGTGTAGCGACGTGACATATACCATTTGAAACGTAACTGAATGAAATTTTAACTCTGAAAGTTTCACCTATTTTGGAATCAAATTGCGCTCGTAGCAGAGCAAACCATCTGATATTATACTAGGCACCGGTTATGAAAAAAAGTGAATTAGAGATGTCGGAGTGTAGCGACGTGACATATACCATTTGAAACGTAACTGAATGAAATTTTAACTCTGAAAGTTTCACCTATTTTGGAGTCAAATTACGCTCGTAGCAGAGCAAACCATCTGATATTATACTAGGCACCGGTTATGAAAAAAAGTGAATTAGAGATGTCGGAGTGTAGCGACGTGACATATACCATTTGAAACGTAACTGAATGAAATTTTAACTCTGAAAGTTTCACCTATTTTGGAGTCAAATTACGCTCGTAGCAGAGCAAACCATCTGATATTATACTAGGCACCGGTTATGAAAAAAAGTGAATTAGAGATGTCGGAGTGTAGCGACGTGACATACACCATTTGAAACGTAACTGAATGAGATTTTAACTCTGAAAGTTTCACCTATTTTGGATTCAAATTACGCTCGTAGCAGAGCAAACCATCTGATATTATACTAGGCACCGGTTATGAAAAAAAGTGAATTAGAGATGTCGGAGTGTAGCGACGTGACATATACCATTTGAAACGTAACTGAATGAAATTTTAACTCTGAAAGTTTCACCTATTTTGGAATCAAATTGCGCTCGTAGCAGAGCAAACCATCTGATATTATACTAGGCACCGGTTATGAAAAAAAGTGAATTAGAGATGTCGGAGTGTAGCGACGTGACATATACCATTTGAAACGTAACTGAATGAAATTTTAACTCTGAAAGTTTCACCTATTTTGGATTCAAATTACGCTCGTAGCAGAGCAAACCATCTGATATTATACTAGGCACCGGTTATGAAAAAAAGTGAATTAGAGATGTCGGAGTGTAGCGACGTGACATATACCATTTGAAACGTAACTGAATGAAATTTTAACTCTGAAAGTTTCACCTATTTTGGAGTCAAATTACGCTCGTAGCAGAGCAAACCATCTGATATTATACTAGGCACCGGTTATGAAAAAAAGTGAATTAGAGATGTCGGAGTGTAGCGACGTGACATATACCATTTGAAACATAACTGAATGAAATTTTA